GCGCCTCCGCGCCCCAGCAGCCCCCCGCAGATTGACGGCCCGGCGGCGGTCTTCGCCACAGAGCGGAAGGGTGTCGTGGCACGAGGAGGGGGAGGAGCGGGAGGGGGGGGGAGGGCGAATGGGGCGGGAGGGAGGCAGGGAGGCGGGGTGGCAGGAGGAATGGGGAGGCAGGAGGAATGAGGAGGAGGATGAGGAGGAGGAGGAGGAAGAAGAAGAAGAAGAAGACGGCAGTGAGGACGACGTCCGCAGTGGAAGGACGACGCGCCTGCCCGACCCCCACCTCAGGGGAGGGGCACGACCTGGCCGAACGGCCTCGCGAGCACCAAGTCGACGAGGGCGATGTGGCGCACGGTCTTCTTGCGCCCCGGGCCGCACAGGACAAGGATCATGCCGTCCTCGGGCTCGGGGTCGCCGTACAGCAGGCCGAATTGCCACGCCCCGCGCCCATCGGGCCAGCGCACTCGGTCACCGGCACGAGCGCCGCGCAGGTCCTCGGCACTCCCCCCCCTCGCCGCCGAGCCCTGCTCCAGGCAACTCACGAGTAGGGAGTGCTGCGGCCGCCGCTGCCGCAGGCAGCGCCGCCTGCTCGAGCACCATGTTGGGCAGCCCCACGCTCGTGGCCAGGCTGACGGCGATGCCGCCCTTGCCCTTGCTCTTGTCCTTGCCCTTGCCTGAGGCTGTGCTGGTGGTCGGGCTGCCGCTACGCACAATCGGCAGCGTGTCGGCCTAGCTATCATCTTCCAGCATCGGCGAGGTGCCTGCAGTAACTGGCAGTAACTCCCGAAACTCCAGTCCCCGCCTCCCCACCGTCATCAGCTCCACCAGTTGCGACGGCCTGCTCTCCGTCCACCACAACGCGCGCCGAGCCACCGCGGCCGCGAGGTCGACGCCGCCGCCGAGGGGCAGCCGCGGCCTGCGCCGGGGGCGCCACGGCTGGCGCGGGCGGGGTGGGCCTGGCCAGCTTGGCCACCGCCGTCCTGAGAAGCCCTTCAGCAGCACGCACGAGCTGAGCCACCTCGCGGAGCTCGGCGCTGCTGGCGAGCCCTGCAGCCGCGTGCACCGCCAGGACCGTGCCGCGCGCGGCTTCCAGGGGCGCGGCAGCGAAGGGCGTCCGTCGTCGGCGACATCGGCGACGTCGCGGGACGGCGGGCCGACCCAGTGGGCGCAGCGGGAGCCAAAACCAGGGGGAGGAGGAGGGGGGAGGAGGAGGAGGAGGAGGAGGAGGAGGAGGTGTCTGAGCATGGCCCTGCGATTCGGTGAGGAGCGCGACGATGTAGTTAGGTCGAACAGTCGTCGTTACCGGCGCTGTTTGGCTCAAAGGCAGCCACGGCAGCAGCAGCAGCTGCGCCCGCATACCCAGGAGACCCGCTTCTGGGGATCGGCTGAAAGTCGAAGGTAACATGTGTTCTGCATCACGATGCGAGCCTGTGCTTCACTCGCCGTGCCGCTCGTGGCCATTTGGGGTCGAGCGCCAGACCAGCAAATCTTGAGGCATCGGCTCATATTGGGCCTGCCGATCGTGATCGAGGTGCTTCTTGCGCCAACCGATCCAGCGTGGCCGAGCCAGTCACTCCGGCTTTTTCGCCAGCTGACGAAGTGGGAGGATCAGGGGAGGCCCCGAGCATCCATCCACGTCAGCTTCCAGCTAACAGCATGCAGGGTGGGGGCCTTCTCTACTCCACGGCGGTCAATGCGTTGGGCCTCAACGTGGACCGGCACTCCTTCATCATCTCTTTGGAGGGGACTGGGACCACATCACACTCACCGAGGTCTTCCAGGTCACTGAGCACGACCAGATGCAGGCACTGGACAGGATGACGGTGGATGGTGCTCCTCTTCGGCCCATTGCGAAGGGAGCTTTTCGGTCCGATCTTCGTCGGTTGGCCGAGCTCGCCGGCTACGAGCCTCCGCACTTGGGTGGCTGTCAGCCCAAGGTCGTGGCTGCGGCGCCCAAGGCCAAGGCGGAGTCGAGTCCGCGCAGCCCAGATGCCGCCACTCGTTTTCCATTGTGCTTCTGCATGGGGACACGGGGCAAGTCAACGAATTGCCGGCGCCAGTCGTGCGCAAGTTGCGTGACGCCTGCGAAGACGTCCACGGCGGCCCGCCGCGGGACTGCGAGGAGCCCGGGTCCACTGTCTTGCATCTGTCCGAATTGGCCGCGAAGTTGGCCACCGATTCGGCCCTTGTGGTCGACATGGCTGTGTTCGGCCCGTTCGGGAAGAGGTTGCAGAAGCAGATGCACTTCAACGCCGATGTGCGGGTGGGCGATTCTTGGATGCGACGTAAGGTGCTTAGCCCGGGCGACTTCGAGACTTGGAGGAAGGGCTGGCCGTCTACAGGGTGGCTGCCTTGATCCTCAAGCTCGCGAAAGAAGGGTCCCTCGATGACTTCGAGGAGGGCGTCCAGCGTTTCTCCGTGGCCTTTTCCAAGGCAGTGGGGCTTGATCTACGTCGCAGTATGATCGAGCAGCGCTGGGCCCAGGTCAGGTCCCGCATCGAGCGCTTGGTTCAGAAGGGCACCTTCCAGGGCGACTTCGACGAGCAGAAGCCGTGGGAGGCCGTGCTGACGCACTCCGCTTGTGGGTCCGTTCCGACGGGAAATGGTAGAAGACGCGCTTCGAGCTTCAGTGCCTCGCGGCCCCGGGGGCCTCGGCAGGCGCGGCGGCGCGCGCCGAGGGGTCCACGGCGGCCTTCGTGGTAGCCGAGCAGGAGCCAACGGCCAGGCGGCCCTGGGCTTCGGGCCACGGCGCGGGCCCCCCCCCCGGCGGGCCGTCCGCGGCCCCGGGGTCTGCGAAGATGCAGAAGACCTCCTGCGCCAATCGCCAGAAGAAGATCGAGGCTAGTGGCAGACGCCTGGATGGCCAGCACCTCCGCCACGGGGGGTTTGAGCTGTGCTTCGCGTGGAACTGCAGCGCCGCGGGGTGTTCGTTCCCGTGCGCGGCTACGCCGGCGAGGAAGCACCTGTGCGAGTGGTGCCTGGGCCAGCGCCGCGCCGTCGACGACGGCTGCCAGGCGCAGAACAGGCCCGGCGGGTGGCACCCTGAGCAGCCGGCAGGCAAGGGTGGTCGCGGCAAGGGGCCAGGCCCGAGGGTGATCACCATGCGTTACAGGCATTGCGCGGAGACGCACCTGCGCGCCCGATGCCTGTGCGAGCACGGCCACTCTGGATGTTGAGTCCAGTAAGCGCAGGCGCACTAGTGCGTCCAGTGCCTGTGCAAGCGCGGCCACTTCAGCTGCGTCCTGTGTGCCTGCGGCGTCTCCAGGCGCCCAGGCGGTTGGCAGCCCGCGACGCGACCCGTCGGGCCTGCGCTGCCAACCGCTCTAACAGGGCCCAACTGCAGTGGGCCCTAGGGTCGGGCGAGCGCGCCCTGGGCCGTCGGCGCCTTCTGGAGCGCCCCCGCCAAGCTGTCGCGCGGTCTCGCGTGTTGCAGCGCCTGTCTCAGGTACGAGACGTCCTGGCGCGGCTCGCTCGGCTCTTCCGCCGCCCCGGCGCAGCCGGCTGCAAGGTAGTATTGTTCGAGTTGGCAGACGGCTCCGCTGCACTTTCCGCGGAGCTCTCGCGCCAGCTGCCAGGCGTGGCCGCGCGCGCCCTGGACGTCGAGGGCGTGCCCGGCTTTTTCTTGAACGCGAAGGTCGTCGAGGAAATCCGCGGCCGAATCTTGGCGCGCCGCGCCGCCGGGCCGGGCACCTCGTCATCGCGTGCGCGTGCCCGCCTGGGGCGACGTTTGCACGTGCCCGGGACAGGGGCGCGCGCGCGCCGGTCTGGTGTGTGCAGAGACCGTGGGGTGGAGCCGCGCTGGCAGCGGGTCGTCGAGGCGAGCGCCGTCTCAGTTGCTGAGCCTTCTGGCGTGGGCCGTCGAGTGGTGCCGCTCGTGGGTCATGCCGGCGTGCCCTGCTCGTTCTTATTTTTGGTCCGGCGAAGCGGAATGCCATGGAATGGCCAAAGGTGCGTCCATAGGATCAGGCCTCAAAGCCGCGCTCAGCGATTTGAACATCCCCGCGCGAATTGTGCTGGGGAGTGGCGCGACAGAAGCCATTGCCATTGTCTGCAGAACGGGGGTTGAGATATGGGGCGCATTGCTGTGTGTCTTCTAGTGCTGCAGGAGAAAGTTAGGGGGGGCGGCGCCAGAATGGTGGGAGTGAGTGATGGCGACATTCTAACCGACGCGCTCGCCAGATGCGTTGATCGCGACTCACTGGCCAAGCATATACTCGCCACCCACCGAATTGCTTTGTTGGAAGGGGCACGTTAGCGCCCGCCACTGAGTGCAAACAGAGGCCGCAGCTGTTTGTGGTCCAAGCTCATAGTGCCCTCTATCAGGTTTCACTCTTCCTTCATATACAGCGCCAGCGGCAGTTGCGCCGAGACGCGCCATGCCGAGAGGAGGTGGTCAAGATCAGGCCGGGCCCAGTCCCTCGCCGGTTACTGAAGCCTCGGACATTGCCCTGCAGGGCGACGGCAACCAGGCACCGAGGCGCGGTTTCCACCGAATCGACGATCGAACGAGTATTTTGAAAGCGGCCGCCGAGAAGATCAATGGCACCAGCGTTGTTGATTTTTGTTGCGTGGAGCAGTGCGACCGTTAGCGGGGTGAGCTGGAGACTCAGGCGTGGGCGCTGGTTGCGGACGCTGAGGCGGTAAACCGATCATGGCCGCAGATGGGCAGACGCGCCGTGTTGCGTGCCGCATGATATCGGGGCACGTGGCAGCTATCGTGGAGTTGTTGCGCCGCGTCGGAGACCTAACTCCGAGGTTCCCTGAAACTGCGCGCCTTCGCGCGAAGGTGGCAGTCGTCGCCGCTGCGCTGGGCGAGATCGCGAATCGGGCGCATTGGGTCCGCGGGCCTTGTTGACCCTCCTTTCGGCATTGGTGCGCCGTTTCCTCCGGCGCCGCGCGCGGTGCCAGAGGGCAAGCCGCCGCCGAAGGCAGCGACTGAGGAGGTCGCTGAGGGGCCGCAGCTACCGATGGGGTGCGCTTCCGCCCGCGGCGGCGCCGCAGGG